GGACTTATTTTAAAAATAAGTAGTTATGTGTTTGGATAAAAGTGCTGCAGTTGAAAAAAAAGTTGTTGATGTGTTTGGCAAATAAGTGCTGGTAAACACTTTTTTTTATCAAAATGTCTGAAATACCCTTTAAGCTGTTAACATGATAAAAAGTTGATTAATTTAAGGTTTTTATACTTAAAAAAAAATTAAAACAAAATTAATTTATGTTTTACATCCATAAGTAATAATATTTTTCTATCATTCACATATTTCTTTACCACCTTATAAACGGAATATAAATTCATATTTCAGAAATAATAATAATAATAATAATAATAATAATAAAATAATAATAATAATAAAATAATAATAATAATAATAATAATAATAAAATAATAAAATAATAATAGTAATAGTAATAGTAATAGTAATAGTAATAATAATAATAATATAATAATAATAATAGTAATAGTAATAATAATAATAAAATAATAATAATAATAGTAATAATAATAATATAATAATAATATTTATAATTATAATAATAATAATTATTATAATAATAATAAAATAATAATAATAATAATAATATAATAATAATAATAAAATAATAATAATAATAATAATAATAATAATAGTAATAGTAATAGTAATAATAATAATAATAATAATAATAATAATAATAATAGTAATAAAAATAATAATAATAAAATAATAATAATAATAATAGTAATAGTAATAGTAATAGTAATAGTAATAATAATAATAATAATAATAATAATAATAATAGTACTAGTAATAATAATAATAATAATAATAATATTAATAATAATAATAATAATAATAATAATAATAATAATTCAATATGGGCAATTTGGAAATTGTATAAAAGAATTAAGGGCAAAAAGGTAATATACTTGGTCAACATAAAAGGGCTTTTAAGTTAAAAAAAAAAAGAAGCTCCCCCCCCTAGCTTTTAGCTTTTGGCTTAAAATAAGTCAGTTTTGACTTAAAATAAGTCACTTTGATAATTGTCAAACACTCTAATAAGTCAAAAACTGGCTTTTAAGCCAGTTTGACCAGCTTAAAAGCCCATCAAAACAGGCTCAAAGTTCTCTGTCTGAGAAACACAAATTGAATTTACTTCCTCCTTTCACTTTTATTAGTCTACTATGATCTTTACACACTGCTAAAGAAATAATGGTTGATAGAAATATTTTGTCATAATATTCATATTAATTGATATTTATCGTTAAGTCTTAAAATTGATTTTGAAATTAAGACATTAATGTCCAAGGATAAATTTTGTTCTTTTTTAATGTGTTAAAAGTGACAAATAAAAATAGGATGAATATTTATTTTTAATATGTTAAAAGATGAGAAAAAGAAAACGACAATGAGGAAAAAGAAAAGATAAAATATATGTTATTTTTGAAATTGTTGAAGGTATTGATAGATCGGAGAAAAAGAGGGAATTGTTGGTGGAGAGAGTAGATTATTATTCTGATTCAAAACTTAGGGTGTGTTTGGTATGGAGGAAAACATGTTGGCCTTAAATGTTTGAAAAAATGTTTTCCAAATCAACTCATTTTCTTCAAATTTAAGGAAAATGACTTTCCTTCCAAAAGTAAGGAAATCATTTTTCAAAACTCTACTTCATCCTTTAATTTTTTTTTACCCTACCCATGCTCCGTACCCGACCGTCCCCTTTCAAAAAAAAGTTAAATTTTTTAAATTTCAAATATATATATTTTTATCTCTACCACCAACCCCCCCCCCCTCCCCTCCCCGAACAAAAAAATAAAAAATTCAAAAATACTATATTTGAGTTTTTTTACCTCACCCAATCCCTACCCCCCTCCCCCCCCCTCGCCATCCCCATAAAAAAAAAATTAAAAATTGTTTTTGAAAAATATTTCAATTTTTTCATTTTTTTATGCCACCCTACCCCCCCAAGCCCCCCTCCCCCGCGTGCGCGACCCCGTCAGGTCCTGGGTCAAATCTCAAGATCAGATTTTAGAACGTAACGGTCATCGGGGTCTTGTCCTAGTTCGGTGTTGGGGTCGGGTCCTAGATCAATTTATGGGTTGATTATAGATCAAAAAGTACTTTCCTAAAGAGTATTTTTTAGTCTCAAGTAAAAAATAAAAGATATTTTCTGAAAAATATTTTTCATTCACCAACCAAACATTAGAAAATATTTTCTACTTGCCAACCAAACATGAGAAAATAAGTTAGAAATCCACTTGTTTTCCAAAAAAATATTTTTTAGGAAAACATTTTCCTTCATACCAAACACACCCTTAGAGGCACTCAATTACTTAATTTCTAGGGATAAGGGTCTGAAAAATATCCCAACTTTGGTCGAATTTGTTGTTGCGATACTAAACTTTCATGAAAACCTATTACCTCCCTAGACTATTTAATATCGTATTTTAAACATATATATTTGTCCACGTGGACATAAAAAATAATGTAAAATTATAAATAGTAATGTGTCCAAGTGGGCATATAAATACCTTTAAAATACACTATTAAATAGTTCAGGGGGTAAAAAAATACGGTATTATCTAGGAAGGTAATAGGTCCTCATGAAAGTTTAGTATCGCAACAGCAAATTCGACCAAAGTTGGGATATTTTTCAAACCCTTATCCCTAATTTCTATATTAAAATAGAAAATTCAAAGATTTGAGCAAAAAATGAAAATTAAAACCTTCATAACTAGAATAGTAAAATAAAAAGATTTGAAATAAAATTATTAGCCTATATTGTCCTCTAAGAAAATATATGAAAATTCATGTATTTATCAATAGTAAATAGTTGTGAATACAAATAAAAGAAGAAGAAATTGGTTATTTCATAGGTATGATGTAGACTTAGCAGCCAATATACCTAAACTGAAATAGCTACAGACAATTATTAGATTTACAATAATATAAAAGAATTTGAAATTACAATATTAACCATTTTAGTGAAATTACACTGTTTTGATTATACTTTATTGCAATTAATCTTCACTATAATGTCCTTCATTTATCCAACTTTCCTCGTTAATCCAACTCCACATTAATGTGCACCCTTATAGTACTCAAATTCCAATGGATCTATCACGTGGTAGTTAAACTTTTAGTGGATCACCGATAGTTTTTTCGATATGATATCCACCACCGTTAGTAGAAAAACATCATTCAATATGCTAAATGAAAATTAACATATCTCACACCCTATTATTCACACAATATTTATATGATAAGGTTCCTATTAAGTTTACTGAAAAAACAAACAAATATAATAGCTTGTTATTAATATCAAACCCCAATAATAGGGTAAAAATAACAATTTAATTTGCTAATTATATTTCTTGTGAGTTTTGATGAAATTTTAACCTAAAATTAAAGTAACAAAAATCATATACAGGAAAATATGTAAGTTGAAAAAAAAGTATATAGAAAAGATTCAAAAAAATGTGTCAATTGCAGACACAATTAATGGGTGATATGGGTAAGAAATATTTAATAACTATAATTACTGGATAATAACACTTGATTTAAAGATCCCAATATATTAATTTAAATATGTAATTAGTTATTTATGTGTTTATAGTTTATGACTTTGTAGCCAAAGATTGCCGTACTTTTTTATTATATAATTGGTGAAATGTTCTTTCAATGTTAAGACATTTGTTGCAATACAATACCTTGAATTTTATTTTAAATTTTTTTATTGGTATATAATTAATTTTAAGTAATTTAATTCAAAATTCTACTATCTTTAACTAAAACCTTAAAAATTTTAAAACTACATCCCTATATTTAAAAGACTTGAAATGGTATTTAATTTTATATAATAAATAATTTTTTAATAATCATAAATGAAAATTTTCAGTTTTTTTCTTTAGATTTTTGCGTGGGTCGTTAAAATGAGTGAGCAAATTAGGTTAAGTTTTTATTTCTCATTAATTAGTTACATATACTTATCCGGTTGGTTCTATTTTTTCTTGTTACTGCACACATTTGTTCTCTCTTTTTTTTTTTTAATAATAATAATTTTTATTATTATAATTTATGAAGGTCTTATATATTATTTTAAAGCTTAAACTTATTTATTTTTACTCTTTTAAATTTATGAAAAGAAATATTGAATGAATCAATCCTTATAAGAAAAACTTTATAGCTTTGCAATTCAAAGAAATTAAAAGAGTGAATTCTGAAAAAAAAAAAAAAAAGTAAATGAAATTTGTTAAAGATATTTATGATTTCTTATTATATATGTTGACTTTAGGCAAATAATTGTATTGAATTGACTCGGTTTTAGTATAACTACATAAATATATGTAACAAAATGTTTAAATCACAAGTTCAAGAAATCTTTATCTTTTTTTAAAAATTGTGGTGCGTACGAATAGTCATCTAGTAATATTACTGTCTTATTCTTTTCCCTTACATTATGGAGTCGTTTAACATAAGAAATAGATAATTATTTCGTTCTATGTTTGATTAGAGATATTAGATAATAGTGAAATTATTGATTTTTGCATTTATACTTTAATAATAAGTTAAGTTATCCTATGTATATAATGAGAACTGAGATAACTAATTCCTTTGAAATACCATCTGAAATAATTACTTTATCTATTTCAAACCTATTCCAAGCGACTCCTAAAAGTCAAGAAGTATTACCGATTGAATTTCCCTTTTTTGCTTCTCCATCTTTTAGTTGACAATTCAAAAAGCACATAGGATTATTTTCTAAATCCATGTACATTCTAGATCTTTATACGACTTTCTATCGTAGCTAAAACTATTCAAATGTAGTTTTCCTTACGGAATGCCAAATATTTAGAAAGTTCAAAGCACCGTAAAATTCAATTCTTTTGACTTTTCTCTACCAACATAACTAAAATTAGACATTCAATTTTTCAAACATATGAAAAGGCAAAATTCAAAATGATGACAGCCACCTCTATATAAATATAGTAAACAATTTCCCCATTAATAACATTATAATCATACTATTGATCAATATGAAGATTTTATTACTTTCTTGCTTCCTCTATTTTACCTTATTTCAAATCATAAAATCCGAACCGGTTCTCGATACTAATAATGAACAAGTCCGTCCGGGGTACACCTACTACATATTGCCCGATACCGCGGGCAATGGTGGTGGCCTAACGCTAGCCAAAGGGGAAAATGGGAGCTGCCCCCTCGACGTTTTTCAAGCACGAAATTCGCAAAGTGTAGGCATTCCGTTGAAATTCTTGATGGTGAATTCTAGCGCGGGCTTAGTAATTGATGAAAATGAGGACATAAATATAAAATTCGCAGCGCGAAGGTACGTATCGATTTGTAATGTATCAACTGTTTGGAAAATCGAAGATGGGATTGTGACTACTGGTGGAATTAAGGGTGGATCGGAAAATGGCACGTCTACAAGTTTATTTACGATTCAGAAATATGAAGATGCGTATGCTTTACAATATTGTCCAAGAGCTACAGGGTGTTCTTTTATTTGTCCAAGATTGTTGTGTGGGTATATTGGTATTTTACCAGCTGAAAATGGATCGAGGCATTTGGCTGTGAACCGGCCGGTTTTCAAGATTGTGTTCAGGAAGGCATAAGAAATTTATTCATAGTATAATAATAATAATAATAACATAGTGAAAATAAATAATGATGTTATAATTTATGGGAGGTGTTTCATATTGATTTGTCATTTTAATTCTTAAGAATAAATCCTTGATATATATATTTCTTGTAGTTCACCTTTGTGTTTGGTTTATATGTGTATTTCAATATTAAAATGTATGGTATTAGTGACCATAAAGTGGAGAAAATGATGTTATCAATTTTTACACATGACTTAAAATTATTTTAAGTTGTTAATTATTGTAATTTTTAATATATAATTAAATATTTTAAAGCGGTTTATTATTGTAATTTATAATATTTTTTTAATATAATTTTTACATGTATAACAAATTAAAAAGAAAAATAAGACAAATAAATGAAAAGGAAAAGAATACATTTTTTTGATAAATACCATTGACTAAAAATAAATATGTCGATCAAAAGTTGCCTGCTTCTAACCGAAATAAACCTCATACAATTTAAGAAAAACACTTTTAGCTTCAAGCACACATTTTAACAAAAAAATTAGTGTCTGTAGCCTCTTATTAGATAGTAAAATAAAATATATTCCGCCGACCTCAATTAGATACGAAATCGAGACGTGCAAGAAAATGACTTCAAAATCAACCTTTGAGACGTGCAAGATTATATGAGGATACTAGCTAGTTGCCTTCCCACAGATTTGTAGTTAACTATACAATGAAAAGGTCTACTGTTTAATCATAGATCTCACAAAATTTATTTTAAATATTTTATTTGACTATAATTATAAATTTTCAAATTTAATCTTTAAACATTTTAAATTTCTTAAAAATTAACTTAAACCAGTTTTTAATTATTATTTAATTCAAAAAATCATTTAAATTTGCTTAAATATAATATCCCAAAAACCACTAAAAAACATAAATGACACACATTTCTAATTAAATTGGTTTTCTTTCTTAGTACTTATTTTAATATTTTAAAAAGGGAAAAGATAAAAAAGAGCAGAAAATTTATTTGGGAGATAAACCACTGAACTTTAATAATTCGAAGAAATTGTAGTAACGACTAACAAGTCAAAGGAAATTAATGCGGGCAGATGTACATGTGCAATGAAACGCGTCATCGTGCCCAACTCAATTCCGTATGAAAATTATAAATTCAGATCAACATTTTACTTGTCGTCTTTATTAAAAATTAAAATATAATTAATTATTAATTATTAATTTTATTCTCACTCAATATATATAAAAATAAATTGAAATGATAAAATAACATTAATTAATATTATAAAATACATATGTCAAATTATTTTTTAAGATGCCTACAAAAAAAAATATATGAATCAAAGGGACCAGTCAATTCCACATCTAAAAAAAATCTTTGAACAGCATGCTACAACTTGCAAAGACAGTTGAATATTCAAATGAATAATCTTATCTTGAAACCATTGATGTCAAACTTTGCATCCACTAAATTCTATAAATACATTTTCTTCTTTGCGCTTAGTTTATCCATTCAAAAATACGTAGTCAATTCAACAAATTACGATGGCACTAAGACGATTCTTACCTTTTCTTGTTGCAATAATATTGTCAACAAGTTTTATTTTTCTAGTAAAAGCTCAAAACATTTCTGAACCGGTTCTCGATAATTCTGGTAAAGCTCTTGAAAAAGGATGGCAGTATATCATCGTACCGGTGTCGGGTCGGAGCAACGAGGGTGGACTTGGTGTGTCAGGGATTAGGAACACAGTTGATCCTCTCGTTGTTACCCAATATCCTCAATCTTCCGTGAGCAAAAGCCTTCGATTTACACCGGTGGACTCGAACGAAAACATCGTCAGATTATCGACTGATCTGAACGTTAAATTTATGGATATTATATTTACCGATAATAGGTCCACGGTATGGACAATTAACACAACATTAATTCCACAACGTTATTTGGTTGCGGTTGGTGGAGTTGAAGGAAATCCTGGGCGTGACACTTTGGGTAATTGGTTTAAGATTGATAAGTACGACGATGCTTACAAGTTTGTGTATTGTCCTGGTGTTTGTGAAACATGTAGACCGTTTTGTGGAGATATTGGAATAATTGTTGAACCTAACAACAAAAGGGTTTTGTTTGTTGGTTCTGATAAACCATTGAAAGTTAAATTTCAAAATACTACGTCGGTTATTACCGTAACTAAAGCTCCTCCAAGTGCTAGCAATTATCCAGATAGACTGCCAACCATGTCTTTTATTAATGTTGTAATGTGTATTGTTATTGCTTATCTTACAAAGCTGATGTGATGTGAGTTACGCGATTCTTGTGTTGGAATGGATAAAGATTGTTTTATATTTAATAAATTGCATATATTGTTGGTTGTGCTTGTGCTTCTATCATTGTATTTATATAGTAGTCTTATAGTTGGATAGGAATCTACTAATCTAACAAACTTACTAACTGAATAAAGAAATTACAGGAATAAAATATATACAAATTACTAAAATTTTTACAATGGTAAGAGCCTCACACAACTATATATTATTGATTGTGCTTCTGCCATTATAAATTTTCTCTAGAAGTTACAAATGCTATTCTACCCTTATAACTAGGTAGGTACATTGTTCTAGAATAGAATAGTACTCCTATCAAGTAATAGTTGGCTGGATTCATTCTTAGGCACGTGTCCAAGTGGTCCAATAATGAAATAGACTCTTATTTAATTTTGCTTTAGACTAATTTTTTTTTGGGATAAGGATCTGAAAAATATCCTAACTTTGATCGGATTTGCTGTTGCGATACTAAAATTTCATGAGGATCTATTATCTCTCTAGACTATTTAATACCGTGTTTTTTACCCTCTGAATTATTTAATAATGTATTTCAAAGGTATATATTTGTCCACGTTGACACATTACTATTTATAATTTTACATTATTTTTTATGTCCACGTGGGCAAATATATATGTTTAAAATACGATATTAAATAATCTAGGAAGGTAATAAGTCCTCATGAAAGTTTAGTATCGCAACAACAAATTCAGTCAAAATTGAGGTATTTTTCAGATCCTTATCTTTTTTTTCTTTTTTTAAAGTCTCGACCATATTCAGTTCGATTGGAGCTGCTCTGACTAGTCTGAATTTGCTCATCATAAGTCTTATTTTGATAAAACATTCCTTATCAAAAAGGATTTCATACTCTAGGGTCGACTGGACTCTAATTAAAGAGGTACTCCATCAAAATTGAGGCTCTGCATGTGTCGATGCTTTTCTTCGCCGGAATAATCTTCCTCTGTATGTTCTCCGTTAACAAGAATTTTGTTTGTTTTCGTAGTTAGATTATAATAGCAAAGACGATAATAATAATTAACACTCCCTTTGTCCTTAATTACTTGTTTATTTTGATAAATCAAAAAGGATAATATTTTTTCTCTATTATATCCTCAATTTATTACTTTGAAAAATGTAGAACTTTTTGAAAATCTTAAGTTTTTAATTCATCTACTTCATAATTAATATAGGTAAAATAGTAAACGCACTATATCAATTATTATTTTCTTAATAGATGTGTCAATTCAAAAGTTGACTAGTAATTAGAGACAGATGGAGTAGTGGATAATAGATAAATGACCAATTTTTTGTTTTGAACTATAGCAAGCAAAGTACACAACACACTCTGATTAGACATGAAGTCGATTAATATTTTGAGTTTCCTCTTGCTTTCAACTACCCTCTCTTTGTTGCCTTTTCTCGATCCTCAACCACCTTCACTTCCGTTAATAATCCCATTGTCTTCCCCACAACTGATAATCATGATGATAATGAACCTTTTTTGGCTTCACAAAGGTAAACAAGAATCATAAATAGTTAATAATTCCCTAACCTAGCTTGCTTTCTAAATTAGCGTTCTATCACTTGTATTTCGCTCTATGTAATATTTAATATTTGGGATTCGACTCCCCTTCATTACCCCTTCCTTCCATTTCTGTCACGCCCCAAATTCAAGGGGCGCAATTGGCCCCTAATGCCAAAACTCAAGCTCGAGCCGACCTTGCTGAACCATTTGCTACTAGCGCATGACAGCCATACGTAGTCAAGAAGACAAACAAGTATATCTCAGTTTAAAATTAAGTCCTCGGCCGGCAAGGGCCCTGTAAACAGATCCATAAATGAAACAGCTACTCCCAAGAATTCATATAAAGAAATAGCCAACTAGCAAAGAAAACCTGATTGGGTTGTCGAGGCCACCATGATGTCTATACCAAAACTAAAAGCAGGAATATATCAATACAATACATCAAACAATCCACAAGCTTCAGCAAAGCAACAACCTAGGCCAGTATGACTATAACGTAGCTATACACCCCATACACTAGTCTGCAAGCCTCTAAGAGTAGTAAAGATTGGTGGAACAGGACCCCAGCCTACCCTTAAAGATATATACAACAAAAGGTAACAAACCTCCCAACTCTGGTAGCTCTGGAGGAAAGGGGCTAGCAAATCGGATAAAGGTGAATCCTGCTACTGAGGAGGTCATCTGTCGAGACCTGCATGCATGAATGCAGCTCCCCCAAGGCAATGGAGCATCAATACAAAATATTATAGAGAGTATGAAAGGTTATTAACTAAATGAGCAAGTATCATAATATACCAAAAGCAATCACGTAAGGAAACCAAAATTTTAAATAAGCATGCTAACCCACTACTGAATCTAACAATACAAAAATGATCAAACATCAACCTAACCAATCCCCCATAAGCTCGGCAGGTACAAATAACATACCACCTACTTAGGCCCCTATAAGCCCAGAAGGTGTCAAATCAATCTACATACCCATATCGATAGCCCTTTGTCTTTGTAAGAAGTCACATAGCCCCTATTGGCAACGATATAGCCCCGTAGGCAGCACATAGCCCTCTTAGGCAACATCATAGCTCTGTAGGCTGCACATAACCCTCTTTTGCATCAACACAGCCCTGTAGGCAACACATAGCCCTCTTTGGCATCAAAATAGCACCGTAAGCAACACATAACACTCTTTGGCATCAACATAGCCTCGTGGGCAACACATAACCCTCTTTAGCG